TACTTGAGCCACGATACGATATTATCATGATACTTGACCCACGATACGATATTATCCTGATGCTTGAGCCACGATACAATATTATCCTGATACTTGAGCCACGATACGATATTATCATGATACTTGACCCACGATACGATATTATCCTGATACTTGACCCACGATACGATATTATCCTAATACTTGAGCCACGATACGATATTATCATGATACTTGACCCACGATACGATATTATCCTAATACTTGACCCACGATACGACATTATCCTAATACTTGACCCACGATACGATATTATCCTGATACTTGACCCACGATACGATATTATCCTGATACTCGATATTATCCTGATACTCGATATTATCCTGATACTTGACCCACGATACGATATTATCCTAATACTTGAGCCACGATACGATATTATCATGATACTTGACCCACGATACGATATTATCCTAATACTTGACCCACGATTCGATATTATCCTAATACTTGAGCCACGATACGATATTATCCTAATATTGAGCCACGATACGATATTATCATGATACTTGACCCGCGATACGATATTATCCTGATACTTGAGCCACGATACGATATCATGATACTTGAGCCACAAAACGATATTAATGTCTGTTCAGGAAATGAAATTCTGATAACCTCTGACCTTCACCACTCCTCAAGTCTCAGTCGGCCCTCTTTAGACCAGTCAATTAGACGATGAACTTCTTCATTAAGTTTGCCTTTAAAAAATACCTCAAATATCCAGTTGCACTACATATCTGTGGCACAAACAGAGCCAGAAGCCCTGAGCTTAGACCATTCCTACAGTCTAAAACTACATCTGAGAGTCGCTGCCTTTCATTTCACTGTCTGAGCGTCTCACTTCCTTTCCTGTCTCTCGTGTGGTTCTTTCCTTTCAATCATAAACTCATAAAGGCATCGGAGCGAGGGCTTGCCTGTGTCGGCTCTCACGCCGGTCTGTTGCCAGGCAGAAACTATGCGGCAGTCTCTTCTCTTCTCTGCGTATCTTCCCTTTTCCCCGATTCATTCATCTGTGTGTGAGAGACTCGGCTGCCGAGTGTACAAGCTTACATATACTGACATTATTATTATAACATCATCATCTCACTCTCCGACTCTGTAATGATTCTTCTGCCTCTCTCTGTTCTCAAACACACATTTGTTTGAAGAGTTAGTTGTGAGGTTGTGTGTTTATGTAAAACAGCCCTTATTACTTCCCTTTATTTTTACCATGGTACCTATACTGTATCTAATAATAAACCCTAACCTTTATTCACTGTTTATCCAATTGATCCAATGTATTTGAATTGACAGAATACAAAAATGCAACTTTTGAAAGTAAGTAAAACTCAAAAAAGCCCATCCTAAAAAGAGACAAAAGTATGAGTTGATATTAGTTTTTGCACTGTAGTTTTTGTAATATAATTATAATACCTGTTGAAAATAATGTCAATCAACTCAGTCAACAACACTACAGTTTGTGTAAAACTCAAATAAATGTAATGAAAGGATCATCATTCACTATTATTTTACGATTTTATGTAATGTCCACATTTTTTGTAACTTTAGTTTTTTATTAGTTTGGAAAAGGAGAGAAAATAATATAGCATATAATTCATCACACACACACACACACACAAACAGTTTTTGCATGTTTTCAGGATTTTTGCTGAATAGTTCAACGAACAGTATTTTGTAACAATATAAATGTCTTCAATGTTACTATTTAACATGTCCTTGATGAATGAAAGCAGTTCTCTCTCAATTTAAATTACAAAAATATTTCACTGTTTTTTGATCAAATAAATGCAGTCTTAGTAGCGCAGGAGAGACTTGTATCAAAAATATAAAAACTTTTGCGATTTTTCCAAACGTCTGGTTTGACAGGTCACCAAGTTTTTGGGAAGTGAATATTTAATCTTTTTACTAACTGAAAAAAGTTTCAATATTTTGTTGCCAATTATTTGAGTAGCAGATTTCATCAAAATTATGACGAGGTATTTTTGATGCAATGCCAATTTTTAGACAAAATAGTTAAATATGAAATGTTTTGTTAGAAATCTTAAGCATCTTAGTATTATTAAAGTAAATTACACTTCTATCTGAACACAATCCTCTGTTTAAGTCACTACAAAATATGTATAAAGAAAAATAATAATAATAATAAAAAAGACCTATTCTGGATAGTCATGGTTGTGTGTGGTTTAATACAAAGAGGCTTTAATCAACGCAGCGAATGTTCAAACGAAGTTCACTACATGGCCTAATTACTGTCATCAACATTTTAATTAGCGTTCACGTCCTCCTCATACAACTCATAATTGCAACTTGTAAACTGGGATTTTTCTCCTACTTGTACCACCTGACCTCATTTAGGTGTTGACAGTGTTGCTATAGAAACGCTTCAGAGAAACAGGAATCAGGTGTGTAACCAATCAGAAACCATGGCAACCAACTATGAACTAGAACTCAGCCATGACAAACAAACCAAACGGAAGAAGACAATGACACTGTATGACGGTGCCAATGAGTAATGTGTGAGTGTGTGAGAAAGGTTTAATCCTGAAGCATGTGACGGGCGTGGCTCAGCCATCACACAATAGAGGAGAGCGTTTCTCTTTGTGTCTGTGGAGCTGCAAACACACACGTCTGATTAAACACACTTCGGCTAGCGGAGCCAGTGTTGTTCCTCTAGAAAATGTGATATCTCGCTTTTGTTCAGCATTATAGGGCATTTGTGCAACATATCAAAGTGCAAACCAACTTTTTTTTTTGTGTTGGTCAGCCAGTGGTTTGTAGAATAAAAGGGGAAACGGCGTTCATTTAAAGGTTATTTAGTGTCAGCTGTTCTGTGAGTGGTCATGTGATTGTCTGCATCGTTGTGTCAGTGCTTTCACTTTTTTTTTTGGTCAACATGATCAAAACTTCACCCATAAACCTGTCACACACAATCCAGACTGTGTTAGCTAGTAAAATATATCATATTTATATCAAAAAGTACAATATTGTGGTTCACGTGTCTTTTTTCAAATGTAAACAAGAATAACTTTGATTGTTAGTGATATTTCAAGATGCACCCTTTACTGGACTGAATCAGCTTCATTTTCTTTGATTATATTTTGAGGAAGGTTTATTTGTTCACTGTATTGCATTATATGTTTTGAAAAGACAGAGCTCTGATCATAAAACTAAGCATTTCCTCATCTTGCTAAGACATATTGATATTTATATGCACTTTATGCAAGTATATGCTCCTTTACAGTTATAAAGATCTAATTAATTTGCATTGCATCAGACTTTCAACTTTTTGGCCTTATAAATATCAGCATCTGCACCAAATTTGGGCCTCTGAATAAATCTTATTTTTTCATCTCACAATTTTATTTAATATATAAGGCATTAAAGAGTTGAAACAGACATGAAATACAACTTTTATCCAAAAAACAAACAAATAAAAAGACTAGAGCCTGTAAACAACCACCGACAACCCAGCAAATCTGGCATGGACAAGCCTCACAGATGTCTATGAAGAATATCAGTTTTACATAACTACATTTTCAGTGGCCGCTATGTTGAAATCACATGACGTGCCAAATGCTCACCTTATCTTGGTGACTCCCTATTATCAAACACTTCCTGATGGATCATTATAGGAGACAAACACACCTGTGAATAGGCTTTTTCAATGTGTGTCTGTATGTGTTAGTGTGGTCTTTGTAAGTATACCACCTGTTCTTGCAAAGAAAAAGTATTCTGAATTAAGTACAAATCATGTTGATTATTCATTAAGAACAAAAACAAACAAACAAACCAACAAAAAAAATATCGTACCATTTCATTACGATATCGGTATCGGACGATATATGATCATTTTGAACGTTATCGTTATGAAATTTGACCAATATATTAAAGTCGATAAGTACTGTATTATTTCCTCCAGATGTGCACTGTTCAACATGATGGGTTTGAATCACTTTAAATAATGAAAATACAGTCATATCGGCTACATAAAGTTATAATGAGAACATTATACTTGTGTGTTTGGTACATGGCTTTTAATGGTGAGAATTTTGTTTTTGTAATCAGGCTCTGTAAAAAATGTAATTTTGATTTATTGGCCAATATATTGGTTATCGGTTTTCAAATATAAAGTTATCGGTTATTAACGGTATTGGCAAAAATGTTCATATCGGTGCATGCCTTTTGGAAAAACAAATTAGAGCCTAGGGGTCGACCGATATGTGATTTTCAGGGCCGATACCGATTATTACAGATCAAATAGGCCGATAACCGATATTTTGAACCGATTATTTATATATATATATATATATGAAGAGTTCAGATGCAAAAGCCTCTAAGTGCCATTTGAAATTTTCTTCTAGAATGATCATTTTTATCAAGCTTGTATATTTAAGTTCAGTGATTTCACTTAAATGGCAATGATAATTACCTATTAATTGTTATTTAAGTGAAATTACTGAACTTAAATATACAAGTTTGATAAAAATCATCATTAAAGAAGAAAATTTCAAATGGCATTTAGAGGCTTTTGCATCTGAACTCTTCATATATATATATCTATATATATATATTATATTTTAGCCTATGTCTGGAGTAAAACTGTAAATTAATGTCAAAATTAAGTTGACAAATACTTTCTTTAAATGATTTTTAATGATTTTTAAATGATTTTCATTATACTTGTGTGTTTGGTACATGGCTTTTAATGGTGAGAATTTTGTTTTTGTAATCAGGCTCTGTAAAAATTTTAATTAAGATTAATTGGCCAATATATCGGTTATCGGCTTTCAAATAAAAAGAGTTTATCGGTATCGGCAGAAATGTTCATATCCTTTTGGAAAAACGAATGAGAGCCACCATATTGTTAACAGTAATGGCAGATTTGAATGATTATGATTATGTGGTGACAGAAAAGCTTGAAATGTCTTGAATAATAAGCCATTTTCCTGTCCCGACAGTGGAGTCTGGTGTGCGACTCCGCCTGGATCGTTCACATCGCCAAGTTTTCCCTGTTGGTCGGCTCCATCTTTGGATATCTGGTGTTGGGAGTTTTGGCAGATTGGTGAGTATGTCTAAAAATGTCTTACTTTCTTATATTTTTGAAACAAAACTCATTTTCTTTCAGATATTAATGCATTAAAGAGTAACTTCTCTTCATTATAACAATGTCCCAAACATGATACAGGTGGTCAGAGTAACCAGAAGTAGAAGCAGAAGTAGAAGACGTTAATAATTACTTGAGGAAGTGTAAAAAAAAAGTATCCACTTATTAGAAGTAGTGAGTTTCTAGTTACTTCAGATGTCCAAAAACCATGTTAACAGGATCATTTTAGTGGTTCGTTAAGTGGTTTCTGTATTAATATTAATAGTTTCATAACCTACAGCCATGTGTGAAAGAGATGTTTAATGGATTCATTTGATTTGTCTTTAAACAAATGGCAACTTCTCCATTGCCTCAGATTGCCTCTCACAGTAATCCTTCACCGTTGTGTCACACACACACACAGCCTGTGTTATTTACATCTCAGAGATTTATGAAGCCGAACGTGAGGTGCTGACGCAACACACCCTGATTAACAGCAACCAAACTGATTGCTCAGTGTTTATAAGAGAGATCTCTATGCACTCCTTCTGTTTATAAACCATTCGTACTTTGAATAAAAGTTGCATTTTTCATGTTGTCAAAGTGTTGGGAGTGACAAAGATATTTAAATACAGGACTGATTCCCAAATCGCAATGATTGACCGTAATAACTATAAAAATGGATGGGGGAAAATCTGATTTGTCAAAATAGATATAGCATAATGTTTTTTATGTGCAAATATTAAAATAAAATGGCTAAATAGTTCAAATATGTATTTATTTTTTAAATAGCTGTGGTATACTTGAGCTCATATTGAAGAGCTGGTTTTATAGTCTCCCACATTTAGGAGAAATACTTCATTGTTTCCAAATGTTTCTCATTTTAACAGTTTGCAAGTGTATTTGCTGCATGTTTGTCACAGTCATTGTGCTGGTAGACATACGGTACATTGTCCCATCGCCAGTGCCGTCAACATGTGACCAAATAGTGTCCCAACTTTCATTACAAGTTGTATATTTGCAATATAGTATATGATATTTCCCCAAGCAATGTTCATTTGAAGAAGACAAATCAATAACTGCTTAAGGCAATGTATTTTAAACAATCTGTTGACAATTATCAGGGCCAAGCTCAAGGAATGAGCGATAAGTTGTGCAAGCATCAGACTAACTGCAACAATGAGTAATCTAAGACATTTTGGTTGAAAAAACGTATGATTTAATTGTTTATTACTTTTGACCAATGGGTGGCGCTGTGGCCAGATTGATGTGGTGTGTGGTCAGGGTGAGGTGACAATAACACATGCAAAGTTTGGTGTCAATTTGCCAACCCATTGAAGAAATAAAGCCTCAGAGTCATTTTGTCAACTTTGTTGATGTGTTAAATGAAGCGTTTTTGTCTATTGACACGAAATCCATTTTGCCGGTGCGGTCTGAAGATGATCTGACTCAAATCAGGGTAAAATTGGACCAATGGTTTAGGAGGAGATCGAAAAAGTACATCATTGTGCGCAGGAAGTTTGTCCGACTATGGCAAAATTGGTATACGTGTTCTCTGCATGACCCAAGGAATCTATTAAGACTATCATACGTTTTATTATAGTAGACAAAACTAATCAAAACCCATGAGCATTTTTTAAAATTTCATTATAATTCTATGACCACAAGGTGGCGCTGTCTCAAAACGCTTCGAGTTCCTTGGTGCCGACGCCACATACAGAGTTTCATAGCGATACGTTAATGCGTTCGTCAAACGTAAACATCTTATGACATAATTAAAAATGGCTAATATGGGGATATTGGGTATCATAGGACTCGGCATGCTGCACCAAATCTAAAGAGGCCAGTTTTGTGATGTTTGGGCAAAGGGCTTAGAGGTTACGAGCAAAAACAGCCATTTTTCATATTTCCTGATCACTAGGTGGCACTGCACCGAAACTGTGCAGGTAACCTCAGATCATGGTTGTCATAACACACACCGAGTTTGGTCAGATTGTGTAGAGCGTTGTGGAGATATAGCCTCACGTTTAATTTGGGCGTGCTTTTCATTGAATTCGAGAACCGTTTGACTGATCACCCTGATTTCCAAAACTTTTCGCCAGCATAGCCTGAAGATGATCCGAAAAGTTGATTTTCTTCTATTTTTATTTAGAATTTTTTCTATCCCTTATGGTTCAAAAGCTATTAGCATAAACATGAGTGATTCAGGGAGACGATGCTAATGTGCACATGAATGAAATGATACACACTGTTTAAAGGTCCCCTGACATGGGGTTATTTTATTATTTTATAATGTTTCCTGGGTTGCCCTTATAATATTAGTATGTTTTTTAGATTAAAAATAGTCATAATTTAGTAATAAAAGGCATTTTTCCTAGCCTGATTTTAGCCTCTGATTTGAAGGGGCGTGTCTGCTGTGGGGTTCAGTGGAACCGCCCACTGCTGTGATTGGCTGTGAGTCTTCAGTGGAACCGCCCACTGCTGTGATTGGCTGTGAGTCTTCAGTGGAACCGCCCACTGCTGTGATTGGCTGTGAGTCTTCAGTGGAACCACCCACTGCTGTGATTGGCTGTGAGTCTTCAGTGGAACCGCCCACTGCTGTGATTGGCTGTGAGTCTTCAGTGGAACCACCCACTGCTGTGATTGGCTGTGAGTCTTCAGTGGAACCGCAGACCAGAAGTGTAAAAATTTTTTACATACCGGTACCTTCAGAACAACCGAATCAAGCCCTGTTTTTTGTGTGTGTATAGATAGATAATGTATGAAAAGTCACAAAATCTTATTCCACTGAGATGAAGGGAACCTTTTTTTTATTGAGTAAAAGTCGATTGGGGGTCGTTTAGACCCCATGACCCGATTTAGGGCTACAAGTGTCTATATATCGTACTGTGTAGGTGATTATGCTTGATCTATTAGACTTTTAAAACGCTTTCCATGTCCTTTCCACACAAAAACATGATTTGTTTCCAAGCTCAAAAGTCACCAAATTGCAGGAATGACCAACATACAGTAGAATCCCACTAAGCCATATTTATTACATTGCGAATCTCACCTTGTTTAAATCATAGCCAAATGTCGTCCTATCCTATTGACCCGCTCTAAACTGCTCAAAGTGGATTAAAAGGCAATATTGTAATCATCAACATTATGAATTTCTCAGTTAGTTGGTGGCCTTAAGCACATAAATAGGTAATTTCGCGCAAATTCATCTAAAAGCGTCAAATTTGGCACAGATGTAGCTGAGGTCATACTGAAATGATTTAGCTAGGGCGCCGGAGCCAGCGGCCCTCGGGACCAAGATGGACCAAGAAAAGCTATAGTTGAATCACTTTCAGGCGGCCATATTGGATTTGCCCGCCATCTTGGTCTCAGGGACCATTGGCTTGGGCGCCCTGACTAAATAATTTCACTATGCCCTCAGCTACATCTGTGCCAAATTTGGTGCTTGTAGATGAATTTGCGCGAACAATGGGATGTAAGGCCCCATTCTACAGCCCAAACTGCTTTTTTGGACAGCGGCCATATTGGAATTGGAGGATCAAGGGGTCCAGATAAACTGGGTCATAAATATAAACATTTCTATGTGTTTCCCATAATCAATTAAGCTGAAAAACATCTCAAGTTTGTATTTGTAACTCATGTGGTTCAAAAGTTATAGCCAGAACCCTTTTCGGGCAGCGGCCATATTGGATTTGGCCGCCATCTTGGCCCCGAGGGTCGCTGGCTCCGGCGCCCTAGCTAAATCATTTCAGTATGACCTGAGCTACATCTGTGCCAAATTTGGCGCTTTTAGATGAATTTGCGCGAAAATGTGCTTAAGGCCCCCAACTAAGGCCTGCATTTAAATATGGTTGCCAATCCAGAATACCAAATTAGCAACATTAACTCCAGGGTGAATGTTTGGTTAAAGCCAAACCAGTCGAACCACTGGGTGTACGCCGTTCTGTAAATGGTCTTTTTGATGAAATGCTCCACTTCTCCTTCTCTGACCCTCAGGTTCGGACGGCACCCGGTCCTGATCCTGTCCGTCTTCTTCATGATAGTGTTCGGCATGACGGTGGCCTTCTCCGTCAACGTCCCGATGTTCGGCACCCTGCGCTTCTTCGAGGGCTTCTGCTTGGCAGGGATCACGCTGTCTCTCTACGCTCTGAGTGAGTAACCCAACACCGTCGTCAGCTCTCAGATTAAACTGCTTTATTAAGAGCTGGGCTTCAGACGACATCACTCTTCGTTGCTTCCTCAAGGCAATGCATTCAGACGGCCATACTTTTATTGCTTACAGCTGCATTCACATTAAATATGCACAATAATACACAGTTATAGTTACAGCATTCATACACCTGTCATACATATTGGCATTTGAAAACTTTACAATGGCCTCTTTGTATTTCCACTGTGATAACTTTAATGATGTGGGTCAATGTTTAGGAGCCACGGAAAAGCATCAGGGTGTTTTAAGTGTACAAAACATTGGGCGCATGGATGGAGAAAGACCTTCATCTGAAACTCATTGTTCGTCTAGAGGAAATGTTGTTTGCGAACAGGACTGTGATGGACTCTGATAATGACTTTTGTTTGAAATATGATCTCTTCTTTGTTAGTATTAGTTACTGAATTGCTAGTAAAACCGTTGTTCGTTTGGCTGTTGGCCATATTGATTTCTTTGTTCTAGACAGTTTTTAACTCAATATATATGATTTGTGGTCTTCCCCTCAGACACAAAGGTCAATTAGGGTCTGTCTCCTCAGTTGGTTATATTCATTGAGATGGATTACCCGTAGAGTAAAGGTGACCTTCTGCATGCTTAACAGTGAAGACATGTTCTGATGAGTGATAATCCTCTTTAGATGAACACCGGCGCTGCAGTAATAGGGTCACCAAACTGTCTGTTGTTAAAGTTGCTACGTTGGCCTTTCAGTTTACTTGTCATAGTAATTTCTCGACTCCATCTACCTTGAAAAGCACTCCAAAAATAGACCCGGCCTGAACTAATGGCGTGCTTCTGACGTTTTTAATGGGTGATAATAAAATTATACAATAAAAAACGGTATTGAAAAAATTAAATTTCGCAAACAATTACAAAGAAGCTGCAAGTAAAACATTGAATTAAGTCTAATTTCTGTGGAAAAAACATACTGGAAAAAAAGTTACGTTTTTAAGTACAATCAACTTGGATGTTTAAGTCAGCGCAACTTAAATTACATTAGACGGACTTAAAAAAATGAGTTATGTGTGCCTTGCCTAAAAAAACTAGAGCCAGACCGATAAAGGATTTTGAAGGCCGATACCGATGCAATATTTTTTGGGTTTTAAAATCCGATATTTTTTTTTTTATTAAATATTGTTGGATTTCACACACGTGTAAAAGAAAAGCTAACTTTTCTGCACAAGATACGTTTGGTACTTTTTCTCTATATCTAAATGTTCACTCCTCGCAAGTATAACTTACATTTTACAATGCAGGGACTGTAACTAGAGATATGCTAGTTATAAATACAGTAATCATTACTTTATTTAGGCAGAAAAAGTTCATTGTGGTTTCCAAGCTCATTAATGTTAACGTTAGCGGTCTTCCACTGATGATAGTGGCATTAGCTAGCTTTATGGTTAGCTAGTCTATGAGCCATAATTTAGCAATAGTGCATCATACTGCAAATTGTAAAACATACATTTTCAATATAACAGGCCAAGGAGAGATGATTGAAGCGTGTTTCGTCCGTTTTTATTTTATTTTTTAAATATTCATTTATCGGCCATTATAACTGCCGATACCGATATTATGGAAAATACCTAATATCAGCCGATAATGTCGGCCGGCCGATATATCGGTCTGGCTCTAAAAAAACTTATTTTGATGAGTTAAAGCAATGTAAAAATATACGTTTTCATAACTTCATATTTTTTTTACAATGTACTCCAATCAGAGTTTTATTTGAGATCATTTCTACAGTGTGACCTGTGCAACACCAGATAACTATTATTGTTATTTTGATATGCTGTGCTGAGTAGTGCTGATTCCATGTTGTTCATGCTACTTTGAAATATTCTGCTTTTCACTACTTGTCCTTACGACATTCAGCATTAAAATGACTTTTCCTCAAAGTCAGACATCCATGTTGGGCCTTTTCAGTACACCAGAAAGGACCAGGGGCTGCCAAAGTCATAACGTATTACAGCAGTCCATATGAGCATACCCTAATCTGTGACTGATAATCACCTTGTGGCAGCGCTCGTATATTATTCTTATTCAAACGTGGTGTGTGAAGGGGAGAATGGCTGTTGCTATGCAAATGTCTTCCCTGGTAAGCCCAACCCTTGAGCCTGATGAACATAGCAAACACAGTTTCTCTCAACAACACTTGTTAATATTTGCTTAATGTGCAGAGTGGTTTATTTGCTATTACTGATGTCAAGCATTTTGTGATTCCGATTATTGTCTTGATGTCTAAATGAGGGTATCAATACCTTTGCAATGTTAAGTTAACTATTAATATTTGGAAACTTGTGATGTGCAAGCAGGGAAGGGTCATTTGATAATGTTGGCCAAAATCTGAAGTAATTCGCTGAAGTAATTCGCTGAAATCAAGCATAAACCGCGAAAGGTGAGCAATAGCCAATGGGATTACTGCATTCACATTAGTCCCGCCCACTGCCGAAGCAACCCGAGAGGCTTCTGCTGGGTCTTAAAGGCTTTGTTTTTCTCTAAATGATTATGTTTGCAAATGACTTGTCAGAAAAGAACAAAACAGGAACAGAACTAGGCAAGAACTAGACTAGTTAATACAACAGGACTGACTGAACAAGACCAGGCGAGACTGACTTAGGGAACGATTTACCAAATAACTGAGAACAAGATGAGAATATAAAGGAGAGAGAACAAGGACAGTGGAAATAATTAAGGGCAGGGAATGGGATCGGTCGGGTCACCCGAAGAATATCTGCGCTACATGTTAGCACACTTGCTAACTATCGGCGCTGACAGCTTTGTGGTTTAATCACAATGGTATTGCAAGGAGGCCATCTCTGAACCCTTGCCCTGTCCTGTCACGGCCAAGTAACCCATCCCAGAAACCTCTGCCTGCCGGATACGACCAAGAAGACCGTCTCTGAACTCTTTACCGACCCTATTACATCCAAAGAGGTTGTTTCTGAACTATCTGCCTATCTGGTCATGGCCATGAAGGCCACTTTTGGACTCTCCCCAGTCCTATCTGCTCGGCTGTGGTGGTCTTCTGCTCCACATTGGTGGGATCAAGTGGTGGTGGCTTGCTTTGTTGGTTTCACCTTGGTGTATCCCAGTTTCTTTACCCCTAGCCCTGGCACACCTCCACGGCTCCACCCAACTGGAGGTTTGGTTTGTTGTTGAGTGTCTGGAAGCCGCTCTTCAAATGTGTAGGGGTGTCACAATTTCCCCCGTGCTTTGGGCTCTAAGACCCTTGTTTTGATAATCTGTTGCATTGATATGTCTAGTTTCACCTGTGCCTTGTTATCCTTTGGCTGCGTCTGAAAGTGTAGGCCGTGACTTGTTGCCTCGCTGCCCTATCAGACAGTGACTCTGCAGGCAGCGGTTGGGCACGAAGGAACCTCACGAACCTGATTTCGGACAGACTTCTGAGGCTGCGTAACATTTTAACGATCTACAGCAAAGTACTTCGGTGAAAACTAAAGTGAATATTTAATGACTACAATAGTAATTTCTCGTTGGAAATGACATCATAAGTGGAAAACATTGATCAAAAATGTACATTTACACATGTACATTGACCAGCCGAAACCTTAAGACGCCATCTTTATTTTTCTAGCTCAACTGTCACAGAATGGAAAGTAGAGGATTGTGGGATATCAAAGGTGGTGAATGATACATCTATGCTGCCTTCAGAAATCAATCAGATGAAGGGATCTCAGAAACATTGCATTTGGACCTTGAAATGTGTCCATTTAGCAGGTTTCGGACACAGCCTTCGAGTCTGTAGTTGTTGTACATGTTGTTTTTTCGTTTTAAAGCTGTTGCGTTTCCATTCCCTATTTGGATTGTTGCCTCTTGTTCCCTCTTTGGATTATTATAGTCTTCCATGCTTTGATGTATGTTTCCCTGTTTGGATTATTGTACCATCATCATTTCTGTTTAATTAGTTATTTGAGTGTTTGGTTAATAAACTGCCTTGCCTCTCCCATTCCCTGGTAACAGTAACAGATGGACAAATATGAACATAAACATAAGTTACATACACATGTTACGGGCCATAGAGGAAAATCATGACATCACATAAAAAAACGTGACAATTTCAAGGTTGAAAAACAAAAACTCTGGAATTAAACTGGAATTTTGGAAACTTGCAGTTTGTATTAATTGAAGAGTAACCTCTTATATGCTTAAATATCATGGGCATTTTGATTTAAATTGTATTACCTTTTTAATGGCAAATAATTTTAAATGTATTACGAATACGATCCATGATGTCTCAGGAGACGACTCCGGGCTATATTTCCCACACACATAAGAAGTGTTACATTTCTCTCCTGCTTGAAATCCTTAGCTAATGAGTTCACAGATTTAATCATGTAGCGTTGCGCGCGCATGGACAGAGACCTTTCAGTCTACATTCAGTGTCTTGAGATAATGAGATGGCCTAGATAACAACACTGTGGTTCGGGTCATTATGGGGTTAGATTAGCCGAGACTGATGCTCAGGGAAATGGCCCCTCTTGGAAACATGTCTTGGTTTCTTGCATTTTGTTTTATTTTCTTGTTAAAAATGTATTTTATTCCTTCTCTGATTATGTTCATGCTATGAAATCTTTAGCAGTTCTGTAACGTTGGAGATGTGCAGTCTGTGTTTTGCACGCTGAGCGGAGTAAAGTTCAGCTGTTGTGCTGAGACCGTGTTCTTCAGAGCTGAATCAACAGCTGTTTATCTGTGACCTTTGACCCAGACTCTAACGCCACATGTCACTTCTCACTCTCAGACGCCTCTCTCTCCTCTGTCTGTATGTATGCCAGACCCAGAAACACTGTTAAACCATTACAAATCTACTCATGCCACAAACCGGTTTGTGATTTGTGTAAGAATTTCGTGAGTGTAAAACATATTTTAATAGAATACCCTTTTTTTTAAAAATGATTTTATTCAGAAAATGTAATAATGGACATT